GGGATTACAGACGTGCAACTGCAAGAATATTAAAAATAAGCACATGCGCTATATTGTTAATATCTTTAATTTTAAACCTCAGACTGCGGACTCCCTCATATTGCTGCGGACTCCCTATTTTTGAGTGTAGAGCCGTTAGACTCCCTTGTTCAAAAGTTAATTTCTACCCCTGCTGATATATTATACATTCCTGATATATTATTCACTCCTGATACTATGCATAATAGATCTATATGACCGCCATGCCCTATATGCCGGGGGAGACGAGCATACGTGTGTTTCAACAACAACAACAACAACAACAAACGCTGTTGTGCGCGCACGACGCACTTGCTGCTGTAACGACTCTGCACTGCCCACATACGGGGTGGGGGGGGCGCTGGGAACGGCGTACTGTGTTTCAACAATAAAATAACAAACGCTGTTGTACGCACCGTACGCACACGCGCCTGGCTGGCTGTAACGACTCTGCGACTGCCACCATACGGGGGGGGGAAACGGGTTACGTGCTGTTTCAACAATAACAATAACAAACGCTGTTGGTGCGCGCGTACGCACACGCACTTGCTGGCTGTAACGACTCTGCGACTGCCCAGGCCCGTAGCCAGGTGGGGTTCGGGGGGTCGAACGACCCCCCCCCCACGAGCCCCCCACAAGAAAAAATTTTTTTTTTTTTAATTAGCAAGAAATTCACCTCAGGTCGCTCATTTTAGTGTAATAATTGCAAAAATCTCCATCGTGCGGAGGGTGAACAGTGAACACCCCCCTCCCCACACCTTCCCCCAGCTTCGGTCGCTTGCTCCCTCGCCTGGCTTCGCTTCGCGCGCCCGAGCAGGGGCGTGTACAGGGGGGTCTAGGGAGTCCGGACCCTTGCTCACGCAGAAAACGCATCTGAGGGTGTCTAATTTTAAAAAATTTCTTGGGATGCCCCCCAGACCCCCCTTCGCAACTTTGGTTACGCGTTAGACCCCCCCCCCTGGTACCGAATCCTGTACACCCCCTGCTGAGCAAATACCCAACATTGAAAAACAAACCCCCCCCCCCAATAACTATAAAGCTGGCTACGGGCCTGCTGCCCACATACGGGGGGTGGGGGGGAAACGGGCGTACGTGGTGTTTCAACAATAACAACAACGTGCTCCTTGTGGATTTTTGCACAAGGGAGAAATACACATTTCACATACCAGGGTATTTGCTTATTTAGAATATATATGGCATGTGCTATCTTCAATAATGCTGAATAGCCGAGCTCGTAGAGCACGGTCGTTACGTCTGAAAGATCGTTGTTTCGAATCCCATCTGTTTATGTTTTTTTTAGGATTAGGGTTAGGCTACACAATGCGTATACATGTGTACACATGTGTATTATGGACCCGAGCGATCCCGAAATTGTGCCCTACTATCGTTCGGCTATTGTCGGAAAAATGTGTATTTCTCCCCGGTACACGACTCCTGGTTGTGACGGCTGTGCCGACCGCGTCACGTGCTAGCATCGTGCTGCGCTCTGCGCGACTGCCTGCGACGCGTTCGATGCGCTGTCACGTGATCAGCTCGTGTCGGCTGTGATCGCTGTACGCGCCGCAGCCGATTTCAAGGTGGATTGTGTCGTCAAGGAGATTGGAAACAATGTGGCAGCTTTATTTGTCATTTTATATAGCATATTCAGCACAGACCCTTGGTAATTTTTATACTGTAGTAATTAATCAGTAAGGTGTTTGCTAATGGGTGCGACATAACTTGTCGAAATTTGTTTCTTCAATTTTTTTGAGAGATGTCATTTTTTAATTTTTGATTTTTAATTTGTTGATTTCTTTTGAGTGTACCTGCTAATGACTGCTAAGTCAACGCCAAACGTGAGCGGCGGTGCTTGCAGTTGTGAGAGACACGAAGAAAGGTGCAAACAGAGAGAAGCCAGAAGTCTCTTTCCCGAGAGCATCCCAATTACGTCTCACTTAAATTTTTAATGGTTTATTTTGAGTAACCGACCTGGAATGTTGTCGCGGTGTGGGGGCCAGTTAACGGTTACTTGTTGTTTCTGCTGCGCGCACGCATTGTATCATCGTGACAAAACAAAATCCGTCGTGATTTTTGAGGCAGGCGGTAGGGTAGCATGCTGGGCAAATATC